ATTTTTTTAAATATTAAGAACAATTCGTTTGTAAATTTTAATTAATTTACGTGGATTCAGCCATTCTACGTAGATTTCAGTTAGTGAATAGTTTGTGTCTGTTCAAAATTGTGCAAAATGCTTACAAAATATGAAATTGTTCTTGCGAATCTATAATGTTCCGATCGAAATTGACTCCAAAACATATCGAAATCCGAAGAAAACGTCCTTGCTGGCTACAATGTATGACAAATTGTGTTTTTTTGGGAATTATTCATTAAATAAATGACTGTTTAAAGAAATCTGTGAATTTTCACCCAATTGAGCCGATCGATTATTAAGCCATTCCAACGGAAGAACCTGCATAACTGCAGAAAAACACAAAATAAAATAAATTGGAAAATTAACAAAACTAAAGTGGAGGATTGAGAGAAGTTCACTGAAGAGTTGCAGCGATGCAACTGATGCTGAATGGAAACTATCGAAGATACTCAAAGATGGAAAGCAATCGCCAAAGGCAGGCATTTAGATCAATGGAAAATAGGAAACATCATTAAAATCCCATAAGGTAACAATAAAAATCTGAAAGTTGAGGAAGAATTAGCAAAATAAATTACTTTAATAGAAGAGAATGAAGATAAAGAGCTTCAAGTTAAAGATGATTAAAGAAATACTTCAGTTTTGTATTGGGGGAAGTTTACCAAAGATTCTGAGCGCGGTATGCAAGATAGAATGCAGCCCACAAAAACGAGAATCAAGACCACTAAACCTCAAAAAAAAGATAACAATGATGCAATCGAAGCTCAACCACAAAATGTTGAGAAAGGAATGAATGGCAAAGAAAATAACATTCAAGGAAGCGGATGAAAATGAAGAGCTGTTTGACTTTGACTTCAAAAAATATAAAAAAGTCCTCAATTTTCTGTAGTGGGAGAAGTTTGCGAAAGTGAAAAAGGTGCATTCAAAGCACTAGAAGAATGGAAAACGTTTTTAGAGCCCCAAAAGAGAACAATGAGAACCTGAAGGCTGAACCACAACAAGCTGAAGAAGGAATGACGAAGAAAATGACATGCAGGGAAGAAAACTTGAGGAGCAAGCTTGCAGTTGAAAAAGAGAAGAAGCGAAAGTCTTGAGTGGTTTTCGTCCATTCAAAGTTGTATTCACTTTTCGACCCTATCGGTATGCTGGTGACTTTCTAACCAATCCAGAGCCAAAGTCAATTATGACATGCGCTATTTAAATGTCGAGCAACTAAAAAAATTCAAAATTCATAACACCCCATTCCGCCCATTGGTTTATGCCAAAATTTTGGTAGTTTCATAAAACATGCATATAAAGAGAACCGGGGTGCGCAGAAACAAATTGTGATGGATAGTGCGTCCAGCTGGAGAAATCGAGAAGTTTGCGTAGTGTGCAATCGGATCCCGGATCGCTTTCCCGTTTTCTGTTGCATCCAAAAGCACATTTGTTGCCAGGTTTGCTTCCAGAGGTTGAAACCTGGACCCAGAGGTAGGCAAAGTGGAACCTCTTCCTGGCACAACGGGCCAATTTTGCATGTACTCTCTTAGGTAATGGCGCAAATTTATCATGTCCACTATGCAGAAGCGCTGGAGACCTTGAGGACTCCAGAGCAATGCCAGATTGCCGAAGTAAAGCGAATTTAAGGCCGGGAATTGGCAGGCCTTATCGCTACAACGTGAACACGCTGCCCGTCACCAAATACAATTACTCAAAAAACTACCAAGATTTTTTTACGCCCTCAACATCGCAAATCACTTCGCATGATGAGGACAAACTGTTTGAAGCCCTCATAGGAATGAGCAAGGAAAAATTCTATGGATCCCAGGTGGGTTGCAGATCCAATCCAACTTTAGCTAGGAAAAACCGGCCAAACCCGCCCAAGTCTGTACTCAGTCTACCGCCTTCGGCCTCCAAAAGGCCCTTCAGATGTCCGCACAAACCATGCCATAAAACAGTGGCTGTGGCCCAGTTTGTCAACCATTTCAAGTCCGAGCACAACGACGTGTCCAATTGGACAGTGGAACGGGGGAAGGAACTCCTCCTACCATGCGACATATCCCTGATCGAATACAACTTCCACTTCTGCTTATCCATGATAACAGTCTACGAAGTCAATCGCATTGACTACCTCAAAGTGGGCGGATCCGAAAGCATAGTGAGGACTTGCAACAAATTCTGCCAGAAAATCCCCATCAGCACCTTCTGGCTAATGGCCAGCGGGTCAGATGAAAGCAAACCGATGTCTTCCTGCTGCTTCTTCTGGCTGTTCACCAACTCGGAAGAGTCCCACAGATGCACTCTAGAATTGAGCTCCAAGGACGATTCTGTGTCCCTGTCGGCTTTCTGTGGAGTGTCCAAGGTACTGGACAAGGATTTCGCCAATGTGAAACATCGATTGCAAGGTCTAGTCGTTACCAGGTCCTCACTTAGGGCCATGCTGAAGGAAGGTGCAGTGCTAAATCTTCGAGTGACTGTACATTGATTTTGAAAGATTAAAAATTGTGCTTAGCATTTTGATACGGAATTTTGCTCTCGTAAGGAGTTAACTAGACCTGAAACCTTTTAGGCCGTCGTTCGGTAGAATTTCTTCTTGACGTTTCGCAAGCACGAGTGGCTTGCATCTTCAGAAGTGGTTTGCTTGAGCGTTCAAGAAAAATCAACGCCTACTGATTTTGGAAATTCAACTTCCCCTTTTGAGCCCAATTCGAAGTTAAGAATTTTGATGCGACTGCAAACGGTGACATTTTGCCCCTGAATCTTCAAGCTAAAACTCTCTACAAATTCAACAGATGTCCGGATTTGAGTGAACTTTTGCCTAAGGAGAGTACGACACTTTAGCTATTTTCCATGGAAGTTGATG